CTTGCACAGTCTTTCATTCGAGACCGAGGGCTCGGTGGTCCCTCCCAGTTGTGTCAGAGGGGGAAGGCTTCTTGACAGAAGGGTCCGGGGATTTTTCCATGGTCAATGAGAATAAAGCTGCAATTCAAGTATGAATCGAAGGGACAGAAGAGTGATGGGAGGAAAAAGTGATGGATGAAAGAAACCACTTGACAAGAATCTAACTAACTAGGCCACCCTATGTTCTTGTTTGATGTCAACAGAACAGATATGGCCCCACTATGCCCTAAACAAGTACCTTGGGTTTTGTTATGGCCTGGTGGTAAATACGCAGTATCTTTCCCACATTTGACATTAGACGTAATTTGAACGAAGAATGTCATTGGCCTCTAAGCCCATTTCGGAAATTGGTATTCCGCCTAAACAAAGAAAGGTAATCACTACTAAACCTATTTAGGAAATGGGGATTATGCTTGAACAAAGAAAGGTATTTACTACTAAGCCTGTTTAGGAAATGGGTCTAGTTCTATACCATGCTTCACATGTGACCCTATTGCTTAGCCGCGACCATGGACCGATGAGATATCCTTGGTCAACCTCTTATGCTCCGTCGCATCTGGCACCCACGAACAACCTCCTGGGCCATGGGCCACCCACGTTAAGAAGTGGACTATAGCGCGATGAAGCAAGACCTGGCCTGAAGACAAACACACTTACCATCCTCAGTTCGATGGCACCAAAGCGCGAATTGATCAACAACCGGCCTTACGCCCCAAGTTCTCTTGAGCACAATGTCTGTCTTGCGAGCGGGGAATGCCCGGGCCCCTTTCCCCATTGTGTTGGCGCTCCAGGATGCCCGTTTATGACAGCTTGCTCAAACTGTCATTGGAATAAGGAAGAATCCCGGTGTTCGTTTTACGTTTCTGAGCAAGCCCCGCCGCCTAAGGATCTGAGCACCACTAGGCAATTGCTGTGCGCGGCCACCGTTCCACTGGCTTCTGCTTGCTTTAAATAGGTTTCTGTGCTCGTGGGTAACAGAGGTGACCTTGTGGTTAGCGGAGTTGTGAAGTGTACGTCGAAAGAGAGGTGCACACGTTTGGGGTGATTGGAGGGCATCAAAGTTGGTGCGTTGAGAGGGGCAGAGGGAGAACGCACTGTTGGTGTCAACGTAGTAAATGTGAGAATTAGCCAAATGAAGCTGGTGCCGCTTGATGGACCGGGATCTTCATGGATGGGAGAGGGAGAAGTCGCATTGTGATACTCTATAAGCCTTCCTTGTATATTACTCTTCTAGATCACTTATGCTATAGAGATAGTTTCAATTTGTCCACACACAATGTAGAGAAATGAACATGTCCTATCGGGGAGGTGCTCACAATCAGAGGTCATGTCCCATATCTGGCCGGTATGCAATATAAAACCTCGTCCCCCTCTAGCTTCTAGGATTAATCAAATCCGCGGCTCGCTCAGCAACCGCATAAACAGAAGCCTGAATATTACCACTGGGCTCAAGTGGGAAAATGCTAGCATCAACAACCCTCAAATTCTTCGTCCCATAAACCTTCAGCTCAGAATCAACAACACCTCCAATCTCCCTCGGCAACATAGCACACGAGCCCGCGGGATGGAAACACGTATACAAGCGATCCTTAACGACATCCTTCGCATGGTCCAGGTCACTCAAGTCGGTCGTATTCTCAGGCATGCGTTTTCCGGCCTTCAGAAGAGCAGAGAATGGCGCTGTCTCAGCAATGCGCTCCGCGAACTGCAACTGCCGGGCCATGATCTCTAGGTCGAGCGGGTGCGACAGCAGGTTCGGGTCGTAAATGGGCTTATCTTCACTCTTTCCGGAGGAAATGTGAACCGAGCCCCGCGAGAATGGGTGGTTGTGCAGCATCATGATGCAGATGTAGTTCTCCGGGAGTGTTTTCGCCAGCACGTCAGTGAGGGTCGTCTTGCCTGGGTTCATGTGGAGTTGCGCAGGGAGGAAGAGGTAGTGCGAGGAGGCATCGTCGCTTTGGAGGAGCATCTTGCGGAGGTGAGAATATTGCGCTTGAAGGTTGGCTGGAGTGTTATCGTTGTCGAGGTATTTAGAGAGCAGGGTGTCAATTTCTTCTTTCGGCACGGCACCGGTTCCATCTACTAACGGGAGATAGGCCATGCTGAGAGGCATGCCTGCCAGCGGGCCTCCGTGCGTCTCCTCGTAGAGCTTGATGAGTGCCTGGACAATGTTAGGATCACGCATGATATCGCCCGAGACTTGGCCATCGGCGATCTCAAAGTTGATGCTCGTGATACTGTGGTCTTGGAGGTTCTCGCCCACGGCGGGATTGTCGATGACTACCGGGATGCCATGGGTCTGCAGAAGATCTGCACAGCCGATGCCCGAGAGCTCGAGCAATTGCGGGGAGTTTATGCTGCCTGCGCAGAGGATCACTTCTTTCTTTGCCTTGATCTCATATGAAGTGTCATGAGTCTTGACCACCACCCCAGTGGCGATGACATCTCCCTCTTGTTGGGAGAAGAGGATTCGTTCGACCATTGTCTCTGCGAGCAGGCGTAGGTTCGGCCGCGCCGCGACCTCGGGGGAGTAGTATGCTGCTGCATACCCTCTTTTCCCCGTCTTGACATCGACGCTTAGCGGGCAAGTAAAAGCGCCCAGTTTGTGGCCATCAAGAGGATCAGCATCGGTTTCCCAGCCCAATTCCGCAAATGTCTCGTTCCAGGCCTTGTTGAACGGGCCATACACATCTGGCAGAGATATTGGGATAGGACCATCATATCCTTGGTTATCAATTTTCATGTATCGACTTGTGCCGAGCAGCTCCGCTGTGGCCTCGCTGGGTGCAGCATACGAGTGGAATTTCCGAAGATAAGGAGCCATATCCTCGGCACCCCAGCCATCATTTCCCAGCGCCTTCCACGCCTCAAAGTTTGATGCAGTTGGGTATACAACCGCGGAGAAATTCAATGCGGAAGAGCCGCCAACAACGCGACCGCGGGGCTGGCCAATTTGTCGGTTCTTTGCATGGATCTATTCATTAATTAGCTTTATATACAAGAAGGCGATGTTCCCCCCGGGGGGGGAACATACCTGCGGCACACTCATGTAATCCCAGTCAAAGTCCGGGTTGCCATACATAGTGGCCAAAAATCCAGGGGTCTCGATACGAGGATCGCCCATCCGATTGGCGCCAGCTTCAATGAGGAGGACATTGATGGAAGGATCTTGGCTTAGACGATTTGCCAAAACAAGACCACCGACTCCTGCGCCGATGATTATGTAGTCGTAGTTATCCATGTTTAGTTTAACAAGCTTTAATTAATATGGAGGGGAAGTGACAATTATAGAAATACTTTAGGGGAATCGAGAGTTGACAGTTGGACAGTGGAGTACACGGCATTTACGGGGTGCGCAATGTCAGCTTCAAGTTAGCTGTTATCTTGTTAGTTCTTGTTCAGGAGCTCGCTTATATCCCTCAGTGAGACTAGTGTCCACAGTGCCCCCTCGGAACAAGTGAGTTGGTATGTTATTTGTTCATAGCCGAAGGAATTGAGATAATAGGGGAAATGGTCTTTGCAAGTTTGACTTGGCCCTGACTAGTTGATATTCGTTCCAATGACCGTCAATTTTTCAGCCTTCGAGCCCACACTGGTAATTTAATTTGGTTTTAGCAAAAACGGCCCGCTACAATGACCCATAAGTCTCTTGCTGATCTTTTGTTCTGGCCAATTAATAGCTAGTCTGAAACCCTAGTGCATACCTTGTCGTACTTTGTACTCAGATGGAGACAATGAGGTTTGTTATTCGTCGACTGACAGCTCTTCACGGTCTTCAAAGTCTCTTCGCCCTTTATATTCCATATACCAAAGTTTGAAACTGAGGAATCGATGGGAAGATGCAATTATACGATGTTTTTGCCTTCCCTATCGTGCGTGACCAGCTCATCGCCAACACAATCCTCGTTGCACTCGCCACCATGTTGGTAATATTGCGTGGTGTCTCCCGACGAATTCGGAAAAGCCATTTAGGATGGGATGATGCATGCTGCGTCGCAGGGCTATTTCACACATATGGAATGCTCGCAATGCAATACCACTATGCCCGTGTCGGGATGCGACACCACATCACGACTATTCCCCCAGATAATGCCATACTGATCGCGAAAATGCTCATGGTTTACCAAATCGTCTACTACAATGCCATGCTCCTGGCTAAATTCTCCTATCTCGCCTTCTACCTGCGCATTTTTGTATCCAGGGAATTCCGCATCCTGACGTGGGTCTGCATGGGCTGTGCAGGCGCGTACTGGACTGGTAGTATGCTCCAGATATTCCTGATCTGTGCACCCTTCGAGAAGAATTGGAACCCAACTCTGCCGGGTCATTGTGCGAGTCAGAATGTGGCGTTTTCGACGATTGGTGCCTTTAACCTTCTCACCGATGTGATGATCATGGCATTGCCAATTCGCTTTGTCTGGAAATTGCAGATGTCTATCGCGACTAAGTTGGCGTTGGTTGGAATCTTCGGATTGGGTATATTGTACGCTTTCCCCCTTTCCTTTTTCATCCCAGGCTCCCAGTCGCGAAGTTCTAACGTGTATAACAGTATTTCCTCCATCACCATCATCCGCATCCGTGTCCTCACCACGGTCGATTTCACCGATCTCTCTTACTCGATGATCTGGGCTGCCTTCTGGAGTGTCACGGAGCCTGCTCTTGCCATTTCCAATTCCTGCGCGCCCATGCTCCGGCCAATTCTCAAGGCCACTTTCCCGTCCTTGTTCTCCAGTGTCCGTGCTGCATACTCGACACAGCCGTCGACGAAACCCGCCCTGAGTAAGAACAGTACTGCGAAACGGGCGCATGGCATAGATGAGATGGATAGTGAATTTCCACTCACACGATTGGATCAAGTACCAGGATCGGCGGACGGAGGGTCGTTGAATGATCAGTCGCAGGATGATCGCTCGCACTATACGTCTTATCAAACCCCTGGGTCTGTTGTTGGGACATCTAAAGGGTTGTAATAGCATTGGATATTATCAATTAAATTTTCCTTTGTACATTTTCTCTCCGTCTTCTTGATGAACCTGCCTATTTTGCCTTGAACCCACCGTCTTATTTGTCAACGAGATATCGGGTCTGTTCTTTCCCGGACTCTATTAACCTTGGAACGTCTTCTTCTGATGATCTAGCTATCTGTATTCGTCTCTGAACTTTCTCTGAACTTGTTATGTTTCCCTAAAATTTTTATGAAGCCTTACAGCCTTTCGAATTGATCACCCCAGGGCTTATCCGCGTATAGTCAGTGCTTAATTTACTGCCGCAGGGGTCATGAGCCTGCACGCTTTGGCACGAAGTATTGGAAAATTTCTATGCTCCAAACGCAAACGTCAAACGAGCAGCGTAATACCTATCTGCGTATTGTTTCAGCCCTACTTTGGCCTCTCTTTTTTCACCTCTTTCATTCCTGTTTTCACCCGCGGGCGCCCGCGAGTGCCTCAGATTAATAATCTAGATTATTAAAAATGTGCTGGTCTCTAGGCATCTGCACATAGCCACCCAAGGATCGACTGGGCGGTTAGGAGCTGAACTAGCTTCGTTTGAGCGCTCTTTGGGTGCTCTTTGGGTGCCCTGGGTTGAGGCAGTGCCCGTGCATTAGCGTCAATCTTAGGGGCGCACAAACTAATTGTAGTGCTGAAAAGCTATTTTGGGGCAGCCAATAAATTGCAAGTGCCCTGTCCCAAGGTAGATTCAATAGCTATATTATGTTCCTTCTGACCCTTGATCCTAGACAATATTAATTTTCCTATGAGCCTGCTTTAGTTATCCATCATGAACGACACTGTCACAACCCGCGAGTGGGTCCCTGAGCCCGACGGGAGGGACGTGGAACATTCTATCCACTTGCATTCTCACCATCATTCTCTGTTCCTGGACATCCGTATCTCCAAATCTGCCTGTCCAATCCGACGGTGCATTCAGAAAATGGAGATACAAATTCGATCTTGCTTGTATTGCGCTACTCGGATCTGAGTTCTTATTGATGCTAGCTCTGGGCCAATGGTCATCTGCACGCCGTTCAGTGAAGGTCAGTGATAATTTACTGTTCGGTTGGACGTCGGATCTAACAGATTAGGATTTCCACGAGGCCGGATATAAGGACTGGACTGTTAAGCACGCGTTCTTTGCTGATATGGGAGGCTTTTGGATTGAACCGCCGGAAATAGATGATTTACCTTCATTCCCTTTAGACGCCAAACAGCTCCATGTCCTCGTGAAGGAGGAGTATATTGAATATCCCCGTCTGGAAGAGGAGGAAATCAAAGATAAGAGTAAATCAGATGGACTGACTAGGTGAGTCACAGCCTACCTGAATTACAACTTCCTTTCTATCCATCATGCTTACTTAGGTAGATCGATTACAATAGCCCAAGCCCTCTGGTTCTCCTTGAACTGCATCTTTCGTTTTGTTCAGGGGCTCTTCGTTACCACCCTCGAGCTCACCACTCTCTCCTTTATCCTAGTCTTTTTGGTCACATCATACAGCTGGTATCACAAGCCTATGGACGTCAACATACCAATTATTTTGAAACCCAAGAAATCAGTGGCTATAATTCGAAGCGACCTTGGTGAAATGCCCGAATCAAAGTGGTACGAAACACCGCTCGAGTTCATCTCCCGGGATGAGTGGTTTTGTGCTCGATTTTGGAAATACTACATCCAAATCCTACACTATATGCACATACCGCTATTCACTGTGCCCGAGCGACGGCCATACGATCGCATTCCAAGTCATTTCTTCCCGACCGTTGATACGCAGGCGGAAATAATCTGTGCCCCGACAATCCTTCTTTTCAGCTCTGTCTTTCTTATCGCGTGGGATTCTCATTTTCCTTCCGCGACAGAGAAGTTAATGTGGCGTATTGCTAGTGTGAATACTCTGGCTTATGGGTTGTTTGGAGGCCTTCTTTCGCTATACCTTCATAAACGGATGTTTCAACCGGGTTTAAGGAAACCCAGGGCACAGGCTGAATTGAAACGTGAACCTGAAAACGGATGTATCAGCCGTCTTGCTGCGAGGGTTACGAATATTGATCCTCAGCAGGATCCCAACCTAGAAATCCGCCTTCGAGCTTTGGTTCCAATTTTTGTTGTGTCCTTTATTGTGTGGGTCGAGGTTTTATCTTAACGGAAGACTTGATGGACTGAGGGTCATGCCAGCGAGTGCGTATCAAACTGTCTCATGGTCAAAATATGTGCCGCATTGGTAGATCATTATGGTGGGGAGTTGTGTTAGTAAGTGAAAGCTATAGGTTAAACGATTATGAGTGAGTGCGCTTGTAAGAAACCTTGGAATACTACTGATAGATATCCACAGATGGAAAGAGCACTAAATTCTGCTGTTATGAACCACTTGGGCTTAACGCTACCGGTATACTCTACAAAGACAGTCCTTGTCAAGAATACCCAGAAGACAACCGAAAAGGCAACTGAAACGAGAATGGCTTGAACCATTGGTTCCATAGGGTAGCTGGGATAGCGAGCGGCATTCTGATCTCGAAAGTATAGTCCCGAATCCTCCGTGAGCCGAGTTGGATTTGAGAGAGGAGCCCACTTCGGAGGCTCACCTATTCAGCAAGACCTGATTAGCGGCGATACTATGATTGTCCTGTGAGAATAGAGTTCCGGACCGTGTCTTCGCAATCCTAACGTTACATTGATGGGGCTAGTCCTGCCATGCCCTTGCGAGTGGGCACTCTATTCTAACCAGATACGAAAATCTCCTGTGTGCCTGCCTTCGTGGATAAGAGCGGTGATAGGGTGAGACCTCACTGACTGTGCTCCATGACTCAACTCGAAGGCCCAGTGGTTGGATAGATCCTTACCTAGAAAGTGAGTCCCTTTGTCCATCAAGGTAGGGCAACCAGGCAGCAAACAAGGGTTCTGACCAATCAGGCTGCACGGGGCGACTTTCGACCACGTCGCCTATTCGCCCGACGCCGGCGGTCTTAGCTGTATAAAGAAGCAGGCTCCCCAGCAGGCTAAGCGCTGAGATACAGCACCGAACCTCACCACGCCCCTACTCAGCACGAGAGTCATATATCCTTGCCCGCTAGTAGCAGCCAGGATCAAGCCCGCTGCTTCCCAATATATTAATATCTTCATTTCCCAAAGGATTAGCGCCTGCCACCTTCCCCTTTACACTCACCAAATACCCTTCCAGTATTCCTACGTGAGTTTCAAAGGTACGAAATCCCCTTCCTCCCATCTTTCTTTCTTGATCAGCCCTCTTTTGCTCTTCATCTTTTTTTCTTCTCCCTCGCTAGGGCTAACTACACCACTCTATAAGATCACCGCCTAATCCAACTCCAACATGAAACCCCTCACCTACCTCTCCCTCCTCCTCGGCATCTCTGCAACCACTGCCCTCGCCGCTCTCCGCCCAGACGCAACCCCCGACGAGGTCGCCGCGGCGAAAGCCGAGTGCGGGTCCCTAGGCGTGATGAGGATCGACCCAGCAGAGCTGCCGGAGGGCGTTACGATGGCCGACGTCCGTATGTGCGCCGGCCATCCCCTCGGCCCCGGGGCGTACCCAGGTCCGGGTCCTGGTGCTTTCGCCAGGTTCCGTCGGTTCTTGCCGAGTTGGGTGTTTTGAGAGGACGGCCCAGGAGCTGGGTCGAGGCCCTGTAGGTAGTCCGGCACGCAGGCTTCTTCTGCTCACGCGCGGGCTAGTTTTTCATACCCGGTCTGGTTGCCTGCGCTGTGCGGCGGGAGCAGCCGCTTGGGAATGGAACTCTTGGAGATGTATGGTGTTGTTTGATGTTGATTTTTGGAACAAGCTCGATTGATATAGTCTAGCTGGAGGATAATATTCAGATATGACAACGTATAAAATTCAACGATAATGACATTTTAGCAATTTCCATTCAGTAGTAGATTAACTATTTCTATATCGGCCTAGTGATCACTCGCCCGCGCAGCGTATATAGAAGGGTTGGTCTGCTGTTCCAGGGAACAGAAATTGAACTGTTCAAAACTACTAGGAATACTTGACAAGGACTATTTTTGCAGAGTATATGTACCTACCTAGGTAGGAGACTTGACCATATGGTAATTCAGAACTGTTGCCTCAGGCAGAAACATAGAGGCCCACTCTTCTCCACTTTTCTCCCAATGTCTTTCCCTCCAACCATATTTTCAAGTCTCGCCAAGGTCACAGTACAGTTCTCATTCTCATTATGGCACCTCTTGATAAAAGAACATTCCTTTTTCTTAAATTTGAAGATGAGGAGCGAAAGCAACTCGTTGCGGAGACTATTCGGATAGTAGCCCAAGCAAAGCTCTTCCCGAAGCTGCTCCTGAGACAATCTGTGTCCCGAATGGAGCAATGAAGAAGACGCTGTGTGTTATATATGTACGTAGTTTCTTCAGCTCCGAAAGGATGTAAAAAGCATCGTCTATAGATATTGTCAAAAATCCCCCAAAATATTTGAGGAAAATGATGCTGGACACTACGCCCACTGTGCTTCATTCAACTCAAATGATGCGCCTGGAATGGGCAAGTGCATGCATGATACACCAAAAATTGCATGAAAAATTGCCTCCACGATAACAAGCTAACAATTGATACACAACACAGTTGCAGCTGGCAAGCAAGTCAACAAGTCATCCTCAAAAGGCAAAACTCCCTCCGACCAGTTCAAAACCCTGCTAGCTGATCTCGCTCCATGTCTCCCGAAAAGGCCCGACCAGGTCCCCTGACCGTTCGACTAACCTGCCACGTGCTTCCTGGGATGACCAGCCAACCTTGAAAGCCTCTCCCATGGCCAGGCTCCGTCTTTGGTTCAGGTCGAAAGGCAAAAGCGAGAAGATGTGGAGAAGAAGGTATGCTGATTGAAAAATGGCGACAAAATAATGCTGACTTCCTGGCCCTTCAGTGCCCGGAACACGATAACGCCAGATGTGTCCTAACCAGACGTGATCAACATGGGATTAAGTGTGCTCATATCATACCATTCAAGTTGAACGATTCAACGCCCGAGATGCAAACTGGGGACGGCTTACAACCTCCTTGAGTCAGTCAACAAGTGGATAGCTGAGTGGGAAGCGAACCGACAACGTCCCGACTCTATCGCACCCATACCCCAGTCACCCTCAAGGACATGGCATGTCCCGAGGTGGCAGCAGATATATGGAGAATTATGCGACGCTGGATATTATTTCCTCTGGGCACATTTCCACTGTGGCAACCGCAGACGCAGTGACTCATCCACTTCCATCGGTGGGGGGTAGACAATGCAGTGGAATCTGAGTCGCAGAATTACCCATCAAACAACCAATTATGGAACGTTAAGAGCACGGAATCAGCCCAGCAGCTTACTCGGTTATCTGATACTAAAGGTCGCTAGTATGCAAGGAGCCGGCAAAGACAAGGACAGTGTGACCTTGACTCCAACGATAATTCTGTCACCTGCCCTGAGATATGAAGATCCCAGCAAGCACTAACCCACCATGATACACTACATGCATGATTAGTGGGGCAGTTCATCAGCTGAAGCATACAACACATGCGTACTAGTAGCTAAGCCTGTTGCCCCTATATATACGCCACAGGCTGGACGGACTGCCTGTGCGTGCAATAGGAAATTCTCCTGGATAATCAATTGACTGTAGCTTCTAAGCTTAACGAGGTCCAAGGTTGAAGGGTCGGAGGAAGTGGTCGCCCAGCGCAAGTTCTACATGTTCATATTACTAGGTTTCTCAACCATCCACGGGTGGTGTATAATGCATATGGCTGAATCTATGGACACCCGATGACAGATGCATTGGGGTGCGTGTTCGTGTGACTGTGAGGACTGAGAAGGGACAACCTGTGAAGATCGGACAACATCCATGGATGACTTTGGATCAGCTCTGCGAGGTACCCACAAGCATCAACCAATGAAGACCCAGACCCTCTGCAAACCTCCATTCTATTCATGGGTGTGTTGTATATGTATGTACTCTTTAGATATGCATCCCCTTCTACTCCACATGTGACAAGATAGATGCAGCTGTACTCTCGTCACGCATATTGTTATGTGGCAGTGGGTAAAGTTAGCGATGCAAGTTGGTGCTACCTGGATCTGCAAGATACAGTTGAGTAACCATGTCAAGCGCCCAGTTATATGTATTGGGCGCTTGGCACAGTTATTTACATGTATTGAGCGGGTCCCCAGAGAATCATTTCTTTGTGGTAAATTCTTGGTTTGGATCTGTTAAAATTCTCGTCAAAATGGGATCGGTCACTCCTCAACGAACTCCTTTGCGGATCTTGGATGCCACAGCTGAGAAGCACCCCGATCAGCTCTACTGTGTTCACCCAGTCTCGTCGGATATCTCTCAAGGATGGAAAAACATCACCTTTGCTGACCTGGCAAATGCTATTAATCGGATGGCTCTTTGGATCCAGGAAAATGTCGCCTCTTCCGATGAACCGCAAACTCTGCATATTTGGGAGCCAACGATATTCGGTATTGTGCGTTCATATTTGCATGCATGAGACTCAGACACAGAGTAAGAGCGTGGAATTCTCAGGTTATTAGGAACTTGTTGACCATGAGATAGGCGCTGCTTCTCTCCCCTCGCAACTCGGAAGCAGCCTCAAGTCATCTCCTCGATGCTACTGGGTGTTCCAAGTTTGTGTATAGCCCCGAGCGGAGTAAACCGATTGAAGAGCTAAAGGGGGGGAATCCATCATTGCAAGCATGGGTAGCACCGGGGTTGTGGGAGCTGTTCGATAGCAGCTCAGCTCCTGCGCCCGTGGTGAAGGAGCCCGCAGAGGATGCAGAAGATCGCATTACAGTCTATATCCACAGCTCTGGTACAACTGGTGAGTGCGTATTATTGTCCAGATTCTTAGTTCAACTGAGAACAGAGCTTCTCTAACACTTTCTTTTCATCAGGCCTCCCTAAACCAATTCCAATGACCAACGGGTATTTCCTCGTCCTTGAGCGAACTGGTCTTCTGCCCCTCCCCAAGAACCGACAAAGCAGCCTTGTTGTCATTGCAGAAAGAGGTAAACGGGTGTTTGTTATGAGTCCCTTCTTCCATTTTATGGGTATTCTAAGTATCATGTCACCGATCCTCTTCAATACGCCTTTTGTGCTGGGCCCTGAGAAGCCTCTAACGGCAGAGCTTCTCGCCCGAATTGTCACGGAGACCCACCCGGAGACGACTCTTATTACACCTTCTATGCTGGAGGAGCTGAGTCAATCTCAGCTCGGTATGCAGACTCTGTCTAAGTTTTGCTTCGTTGTCTTTGGAGGAGCACCCTTGGCCCAGGAAATCGGTGATCGCATCTCCGAGATAACTCATCTTCAGTCGGTTATAGGGTCAAGTGAAAACGGGCTCTGTGGAGCGTTGAAGCACCAAGACAAACGCGACTGGCCATATCTGGAGTGGAACCCCAATGCTGGGCTCGAAATGCGTGATGCCGGTGAAGGCTTTTTCGAGCTCGTCATCCCCGGTGGCAAGGGTCGAGCGGCTCACGCTGTCTTCCATACATACCCTGACAAGGATGAGTACAAGACCGGCGATCTCTTTGTTCCTCACCCAGAAAAGGAAGGGGTTTGGCTGTATTCTGGGCGCCGCGATGATATGATTGTTTTGAGCAACGGAGAGAAGTTCAACCCTACCACTATGCAGGAGATCATCTCCAACCACCCACTTGTTGCTCGAACAGTCGTTGTTGGTCAAGGCCACTTTCAGTCAGGTGCCATCATCGAGCCCAATTGGTCTTTATGGAGTGGCGAGCCTAACGCATTTATCGATGAGATCTGGGCAAACATCAACAAGGCCAATGAGTCCGCCCCGGGGCATGCCCAACTCATGAAAAACCGCATCGGGGTAGCCTCTCAGGCAAAGCCACTCCAGCTTACGCCGAAGGGTACTGTCAAGCGACGTACCGTGCTTGTTGACTACGCCAATGAGATCGACGCGCTCTACGCCGATGGCGATCAGGTCGATGTTGCGCAGATACCCAAAGACGCGAAACGAGAAGACATCACTTCGTATGTCACTGTAGCCATCTCGGACATCTTGGACGTTCCTTCTTTTGATGAGAATGCCGACATTTTTGCATCGGGCCTCGACTCCCTACAAACCCTTAATTTGGGTCAAGTTCTTCAAGGCTCTCTAAAGTCCGCTAGACCTAACTTGGGCTCGATGTTCGGTAGCCCGCAGCTTTACTCCCGTCCTACGATCGCCCAACTTTCTCGATACGTTCTCGATATTCTCCAAGGAGACGACTCAGCTCCCGATGCAGCCATTATTGAGAGCGACAGTGACCGGGAAACGAGAATCGCTGATCTGATTGGAAAATACACCGAAGATTTTGGTAAAGGCCATGCAGTCATTCTCACTGGGTCTACTGGCTCACTTGGAGCCTATCTACTCCACGAGCTTCTGAGCGATCTCAGCATTACCAAGATCTACTGTCTCAACCGGTCGGATGATGCAGAACTCAGGCAATTGCAAAGCCTGCGTGAGAAGGGATTGCGCACCTTTAACAAATTCCCCCCTCGAGTGGAATTCCTCCAGACAAAATTTGGTGACGAGAAATTTGGGATCGACGATGCAAAATTTGACCAGATGCTGCAGGAGGTGGACACTATAATTCACAATGCCTGGAAGGTGAACTTCAACCACAGAGTCGAGGCTTTTGAAAATCCCCACATCGCAGGTGTGCGTCGGCTCGTGGAATTCAGCGTCGCCAGCGAAAAGGCGGCTCACATTCATTTCATTTCATCCATCTCCACCATCGAAGGTTACAGCTCGGAGAGAGGTCCCTCAATACCTGAGATTATCTTTGATGATCCCAGCTCGGCACTCCGACAGGGATACGGAGAGTCCAAGCATGTCTCTGAGAGGATCTGTGCTGCCGCCTCAGCCAAGTGTGGCGTTCCGACCAGCATCCATCGTGTTGGCCAGATCGGAGGCCCGACGACAGAGAAGGGCATGTGGAATAAGCAGGAGTGGGTGCCATCCTTGATTGCGACATCCAAGACCATCAAGCAGATTCCGAACGGATTGGGATTGGTGTCCGTTCAGTGGGTTCCAGTAGTAAGTATTGTCTCGGCTGCTTATTTCCTTTTCATCAAGATCTAATAAACCTCGGTTACCCAGGATGTAACTGCAAAGGTCATCGTTGACATCGTCCGAACCCGACGTGGTACGCAAGAGGATGAGCCATGTGCAGCATTCCACATCGTCAACCCCAGGGCCGCAGAATGGTCATCACTTATCCCGTCAGTGACGAAGTACTTTGATATGGAACCGGTTGATATTAAAAGATGGATTGAGATTCTTGAGGGTTTCACGAACCCCACAGAAAGTGATCTCCAGGACAAGCCCGCCCTCAAGATTCTCGACTTTTTTAAGGCTATCTCATTCACCGATAAACCTGGTCCTTGGACTGAAACTACTAAGACTCAAGCTGCCAGTAAGACGTTGCAACGATTGCGGGCAATTGATGCTCCACTTATGGAGAACTGGATAAAACAGTGGAAGTTTTGAAGGAACTGCTTTGCATGTAATGGCACAATACGAGTACAATCGAAGTATTTGGCTGGCTTAACTATACATAGTTAGTGTTACAATACAGAATAACTTTGGGGTGAACATTAGGTCTATCTACTAGGAAATGGTTTCAATATAAAATTCTCGCTTGGCTCTACCCTGATCGAAGGGGAAAAAGGGATTTCCATCGCGAAAATCCAAAAATACAGTCGAAAAACCAAGCAATAGTAATGACGCTTAGGTATTGCGGGTATATGAGGGGCATTTAAGGTGACTTTGCATGTTCAATTCCGAAAGCACAGTCTCAATGCTGTGGAAACTTATTCAAGCCGAACAGACTAACGAGATACTGGTCCAGCGCCCATACTCATGCCTTCCTCAGCGATATACCTAGGTAGCTACACGTACCATATTTCCTCTGCCGGGTGGGGCTTTCCTATCTTAGCTGCCGCCGCTTTTATGGCGCTCAGAGTCAGGCTCACTGAGTAAATTTCAGTCCGGGCTCAGACTCACTGAGCTGCTCAGACTAGTCACGTGATTGATCAGAGAGGTCCAATGGACGCTCAGTGAGCGCGCACTGATTACGCAGAGGCTGCTCAGAGTCATCTATTGAGCACCCAGTCTACACTCAGACCATACCCAAGAAGCACTTTGCCCCACAGTACTATTTACTCTGCGCTACTTTTTGATGGCCCTCAATCTTCACCATCCTCCTCCTATTTCTGGCGGTGCATGATCTTCCAGTCTCATTCCACTCTCAAAAATAGCGCACTCAGCCATAATGACTCAAAACTGGAAGGCACAGAGTCCATCTGTCATAGGGAGGTGCCGGAGAATAGTCTTAGGTCATATCAAATTACTAAATTATAAATTGGAACTATTTTCCTACTTCCATCCTCCAGAATAGCTTTCTCTATTTTCTACCTCATCCTTTTAGTCTCTCAGCCTTTTTCTTATATTACGTGGGAAATTAAACAGGCTATAGGTAGAAAACAGTTCTTTACTTAATAAGATGAGATCACCAAAGATAAGCGCTATAATTAACTATAAAAGAGCGGATATATTTTTAGTGCTTATACAAATAAGGAGTCTATCCGAGGGAAAGATAAAAGGGTACCTAAGACTAAGAGGATATACTACTAAGCTGTCAATCTTTAGATAAGGTGAGTTGATATATAGTTATACTTAAAAAATACCGGGATAATAAGTTACTAATAGGTATAGGTTCGTTAGATAGTATAGGATCGAGGGCTATAAACCGGGGCTAGGCTATACGATCCTAGACTATACACTTATCAAAGAATTTCTTCGGTAGTATAGTTAGTTCGCGCGTAGGAAAAAAAGTGAAAATAGACGGCCGGTGATAACATTAGTCCTTAATTGCGCGGAAAGGCTATTTAGAGGATTTGAAGAGAAAATGCAAATTAAGATTATATTAGAAGACCGGGAAGAGATATCTAGTGTAAGCCCTTATTTGGATTTACTTTCTATATTCCGTAATAGAAGCTAAACTAATTGCGATATAGTGGATAAAGAGAAAATTGACAGAAAATGAAGGTACGGTTAAGAACGTCGAGGATCCAGACTATAGTTTTACGAAGAAGGACTTTCTCCGACTGATATCCTCTATATGGCAAGCGGATCGTCGCATTTTCATGCCCGGGTTGCTTAAGGCTATCATGACGTTAGCGCTCCAATTATACCTCTTCACCGGAGTAAGAATTGGAGCATTCATACAGGCCTATGAGGATAGAGACGAGAGAGGCCTAAGATATAAGGTAGGAAACTACGATCTTGGGGTTGTGTATGGCTAAATTTCCAAACAAGCACATCGATCTAGTCTTGTTTCCATCTTCTACGGCACCTTGGAAGGTAGAATTGGAAATCAATCAAGTGTGGCTTAAAGGGAACCGAAACCCAGACTACATGTTTCTGGTCTTGCTTTGGAGGAATTTGGAACACCAGCCTTGTTCTCGTGGAGGAGGCTATCTTCGGCCTCCGGCCCATTTGTACAAGATCTCCTTGTGTGGTATAGGCAGCAGTGGAGATGAGCTGGATTAAGCGATGGTGATAGGTGCAACTGATTTCGTCAATAAAGTGAGAATAACCTCAGCTTTGAGGCAGATTTGCAGCTTATAAGCAGCATTTCTGTAGAGAAGTCAAAGGAAAAGAAAATCTCTGAGCTTTGCTGCTGAGAGAGAGGAAGAGAGGACATAAAATTAATCCGAGGGAGGAGCAAAGGCCCTATCCACCTTAGGCAGGAAGGCTGCCGCAAGATTATATAACGTGATATGCCCGTCAGGTGTACCTAAGATATCACTCCGGTGTCTTATTTGGACGTTCCTTTTAGAAGTTCTTTTGAAACCTTTTTAGATTCTCCCTCCAGTGTCCTTTGAGACGTCTTTTCTTTAGATATTCTTTTCTTCTTTATGTTGTAGCTAAAAGATGATTATTAGCTACATAAGAAATACATGCTGGGCTTATCACTATACGAAAACATACGAAGACAGTACAAAGCACAACCCGTACAGACGACTTTTCTATGTACAACCAGTATTTCCATCCACACAATGCGACTTCCCTCCTTTGTTCCCCCTGGGCTATTCCTACTCCATTGGCTTTCGTGCAAACAATTTCATAATATGCTCACTACCCCAAGCAGCAGCAATATCCAAACTGGTCCGCTGCCGTGAATCCTCGGTCATAGGATCAAGTCCCCGATTCATCAGTATCTTGAATCGCCGGACCACATTGTCCGGGGATTTCGCACGATACCCGTGATATGCCTTCTTGGAGGCCAGCAAATGGAGCAATGTTGATCCTGCATTATTTCGTGCGAAGAAGTCAGCTCCACCCTTGTCAAAAAGGTCGAAGACGCTCTCGGTGAGGTCATCCTCCTTTTCGTCATAACCGTAATCGGAGGGGAATGTAGGAGTTACCACGCCATGCTCTATATATTTGAAGAGAGGTGTGTCGCCCTTGTTGTTCCGAGAATTGATGTCCACGCCGGCTTTCAGGAATCGCTTGAAGTCAGCCTGCGACTTATCCTCTTTCAGGTTCCTAGCCAAACGATGAAGCGCCGTGTTTCCATTGGGGTCCGGCTGGAGAGGGTCAGCCCCCATTTCGAGAAGATCATCAATGAGATCGAAGTCCTCTGAAATCAGGGTGCGGTGAAAGAATGTTTCGCCCTTCTGATTGGGCTGGTTGAGAAGACCCGGACTTTCGATGATAACTCCCTTGAGGGTTTTGAACAACTCCGAGTCAACTCCCAAAGAACAAATATGGTGGAGGATGGTATTGCCATCGTTGTCCTGTGCCATGGCATCTGCACCGCGGTCTATGAACTCGTGGAAAATCGTTTTTGTAATGGTTGTCCCAGCTTCAATAGAATCAATCTTGGTGTCCAGTGTCTTCTGGCTCTGGGAAGCTGCAAGAAGCAATGTGCAACCGCTTGAATCCCGTCGTTCGAGTTCCAAGGATGGTAATTGAAAGAATGGCGCGCTTGGGTGCCCAGATTTTAAAATTTCATGGACGACAGTGTGTCTTTGGGGTTCAATTTGCGGGTGCGAGATATCGGGCTCATCCAGGTCTGAGTCGGATTCCTCCATGTTGTAGTCATCAGGACATGAGAATTCCCCGACATACGTAGCAAATGGGTCTGCGCCATGATTGAGCAGTATTGTCATGATACGGGTGTCGAGTGAATTCTCATCCACATCTTTCGAACGGGATCGTGGCTTGTTATAGTCAAACCCACTGGATCGCAGTTCAGGGACAGCGGCAAAGAGAAGAGGTGAGACCTCGGAATCAAGAATATTGGGCCTGAAGTCGCTTTCTTTCCGAGGAGTAACCGGCTCAGATCGCCTAAGATTCGCGTAATCACCGCGAGACAGTAATGTTTCCAAAATCTCAATTTCGCCCATATCAATCGCAGAAAATATGGCTTCTGCGCTAATATGGGCGCCGTGTGCGATGAGCAGCTTGGTCATCTCTAGGTCGTTACCAGCTTTTGACAAACATGTCTCTCCGTTGGCATCCACAGCATTGACATCCGCGCCGCTGTCGATGAGAATCTGGACGGCATTCCTGCGGAAAGGACCATGTTTGCGATGCATGGCTGCGTGTAATGGTGTCATTCCATCCTCACTACGAAGTTCAAGGTTTGCCCCCTTTTTGATCAAATACGGCAATGCTTTGTAAACATGCCACCAGCTGCGCCCGAGTGCGAGGTTATGAAGGGCCCCTCCTGCCGCTTTGGTATCTTCGAAGTTTGAGGTTTTTCTGTATTGGGCATTCAAGCTGACGCCGGCCTCCTCAACAAGGAATTCTACAACATCCATGTTGGGCAAATAGCGATCACATGCAGTCACCAGTAGAGGCAGCACAGGATGTCTAGTGCAATTCAGTTCCGTTTCTGCTTCTAGGCACCATTTCTGGTCATCAAACCTCAGTGCAGCATCATGGTCGCACACCCGTTCCAGCAGCTCTTTATAACCCCAGGTCACAAGAAAATGCAATAAAGAGGTCCCATCGTCAACGAGCTTGGATGCATCACGTTTCTTTGCTCCCTCTTCAAACAGGTCGTAGTGCCTAGTGAATACTAAGTTTCTCATGAAGGTGGTGAGATCACGTCTAAGGAGCCAAGAGATATCACCGTCAAATCCGCCGTGTCTTCTTAACGCCTCTTTTGTCGCATCTAGGCGGCTTTTGGAGATGAGATAGTCAAGCCCAAAAGAAATACTGCATTGCTTCGCCTCAGGAAGACGATATTGCAGTTGTAAGAAACTGTCCACGGTGTATTCGTACCGATTCGAAATGGCTTCATCAAACGCCCTTTGAAGATCATTAGTGGGCGAGAGGGCTCCATGGCGAACAAGTAAATCCAAAATCTCATCCAGACGAACTGTATCATGCTCCGAATATCGCGGGCCGTAATTATCATTCCTATGAGGGGGATCAAAAGACGGTCGTTGCTGATCGCTGACTAGAACGCCGGCTGCATGAAGGCAATCCGTCCGCGTCATCCTTTTATGACCGGTCCATAGTTGTTCTTCTGCTTCGAACTGCGCACATGCTCTGAGAGGTGAACGGCTTCCGCTGTCCAATACGGTGGGATCTGCGCCGGCTTCGAGCAGTGCTAGGACGGTCTCAGGGCGACCCGAACGGCAAGCATAGTGAAGGGCGGTTTCCCCTTCTTTGGTTCGTCGGTTCACAAATGCAGTCCGATCTTGGACTCCGAGTTCTGCTAGTCTAGAGCAGAACAGAGCAACAATATTGGGCTGGCGGGTCCGGGCCGCGATATGGAGCACTGACATTCCTTCATTTGTTACTTTGAACATGTCTGCACCAGAATCGAGAAGCTTGACAACGTAAGACTCGGATATTGTGGCAGCGAGGTGCAAGGGCTGAACACCGTAGCAATCACTACGATTTAGGTTCTTGCATACTCCAAGGAGATAATCCAGGTTATCCTCGTCCGTCGATAAGGATGAAAGTTTTGCCTTGGAACACATCACATGCAGAGTGGTCCTCCCGCGATGGTTTGGTTGGTCTATGTTCAATCCCAGTGCTACCAGATGTTTCATGATAGCAGGCAGTTTTTCGTTGTTCCTGGAAGCGGCAACCTCCATCAAAAGCGAGTTGCCTTGGTGATCTGTGGTCAAAGGATCAAGGCCAAGACTTATCAGATAGCCCAAACGATTGGTGTCATCGCAACAACGATGCAAGAGAGTTCGGCCATTATAGTCCCGCGTATCGAGGCAAGCGCCTAGCTCAACCAGTGTCTTACAAATTTGTCCACCTTCATGCGCATGTTTGAAAAGAACTGTGTGGCCATCCTGATTTCGAGCTTCAAGGTTTGCACCCGCATTAACGAGCTTGTAAATGGACGGACTATGTTCACCCCGCATGGTGTGCAACGGGGTATTGCCTTCATTGTTCATCGCATTTGGATTGGCGCCCAGAGATATCAAACTATCGATAACACAACTATGAACCACAGATGTCTTGAAAACGTGGTGTAGCGGACCATTGCCCTGGGTGTCGGAGATATTGACATCAGGTTTATACTCCAGGAAAGCAAGTACTCGGTCTATATTGAAGCCCTGGAGCCGAAATAGTAACGGGGTTTTCCCATTCTTGCCAATGGGCTTGTTGATATCAACCACCCCTGTGCCCAGAAGCACAGGAAGCAGCTCTTCATCTCTCTGTCCTTCCGTGTGTAATGGTGTGGCGCCAGAATCGTCTTCTGCTGTAGGATCTGCACCAGCTTCAAGTAACTTCTTGACCACACCTGCCTTCTGGTATTCACAGGCATAGTGAAGGGCCGTTTTTCCGGTAGGACTTCGTACATGAACATCGGCCCCTGCCTGAAGCAGAGAATCTACGGACGCTGGCGAGACCTTGCCTCCACGCTCGCCGGATCCGCAAAGGACATGTAAAGCGGTATGGCCCCTTTCGGGATCTTGATTCATATGAGCTTTTGACCTGCGCATGTACTGCCTTCCGGCAAACTCGCTTCCTGCTTGTTCACAAAATATGTTTGGATCGGCTCCCGCTCGCAATAGTACACGAATGGTCTTTTCATCTCCGCCGAAGCAGGATGCGAAAAGAGCAGTGTCTCCTCCGTATTTCTTATTTACATCCACACCTGGGTGTTCCAAGATCAACTCAACCACTGCACTCTGCCCGGCCCTCGCCGCCCCGAGAAGGGCTCGATGACAATCAGCGGTGTCTTCCAAAAAGGGTAGAAACTCGGCCATCGTCTCGACATGGCCGTTATAACATGCATACATCAAAGGTGTATTTCCGAGGGATGTGGGTGCGTTCCCACACCTTCTTCCGGGCGTCTCCTGCGTCTTGGGAGTGAGCGGGTGGACGCCAGCAGTAAGCAAAAGTTTGGCCACTGCAGCATGACCTTTTTCGGCTGCCAGATGTAGTGAGTTGTATCCTTCGTTTTGTTCCGCGTTGGGGTCAGCTCCGTTGGCAAGCAAAGCCTCTACCACGTCGTGGTGACCGGAAGTGGCAGCCCAGTATAAAGGTGTATTTTGGGAAGAATCTCGCACTTCTATGCTATCCCCTCTCTCGAGTAAGTGTGCGGCGTATCCAGCCAGACCAGCCCAAGCAGCAACATGAAGCGCGGTGATTCCCTGGGTTGCATGTGTCGGCCATGCCATAACTCGCCAGGCGGTAAACATAGGCCTTTCCGCGAAGAAGTTATCAAGCATCGTGTAGACAAGTGACATATCTTCACCCGCTAAGGCTGCGCGGCGGATGTGAGTGTACCAATTATCCGCTGCATATTCTAGAAACGGGAACCGCAGTTTCAGTTCTCTTTGCTCGTTATCCTTTGAGTGTCTAGATTCCATTGTGTCGGTAGATCCCTTCATTTGTTGATGAACCAGGCAGCCCGACCGGAGATAGTCCAAGCAAGCAATAGCCAGGCATTTGTTTGTTGAGCCCGGTTGAAAGATTGGATATGTCGTATCATACGACTCACTTGAACGGGTGAGCCCTTTCAAGAACTCGGTGAATGAGTGGTGAACAACCGAGACCGTTTCATCAGGAAGAATCTCGAGCAGCGGGCCACAAGCGGCCCGGACCAATTCTTTTGTCTCTTTCAGACTGCGATCCGTAATTCGAGCTTGTACGCTTTTCGCCATTTCGGCGATCTCGAGAATACGGAGTGGGCGTATGGCATGTGTGACAAATTGCAAGACTAGTAGTTGCAAATCCTCGGGAACAGCCGATCGTCTTGCGTGTTCGTGTAGCAAATCATTATACATAACGTTCAAGTCAGCCGGTAAGGCCTTGAGGACCTCATGTGCGTCGGCACCTGGTTCAAGAAATGCTTCCATTGAAAGCTTCGCATACAGGAAGAGCCCATTCGCCCGACCAGGAATGGCTTCCTCTATGACACTCCAGAACTCAGGGGCGATCGATGAGTGGCGAAGTTTGTATTGTACATAGGCTGCGATGTCGAGATCGACGAGTTTCTCTTCCAAGCGAATCTGGGGAATGGAAAATGATCTCAAACAATTCTCCACTGTTGATACTGGACGTGAAGTGATCAAAACTTTGACATTGGATGGGCGCCACTGGCCTAATTCCACCAAGGCGTGGAGGAACTCATCATTCCCCTGGTCCATCTCATCCAAGGCGTCTGTGACACAGTAGACCTTGGGAAATGTGGCCAGTGCCAGCTTGAGGTCTTTCCAGAGATCGCTTAGGGACAGGCCGTCCAAATCACGGCTGTCGTTAATGTAACCTTTCAGCTTGACTTGCAGGGGAGGGCTATAATCCAAAAGTTGACATAACCAATCCCGCAGCGCAGCCACGGGCTGATGGTTGGCGTCGATGATCTGTCGGAAGAAGAAAAATATGACTGGGATATCATCATTTTGTAATTGATTGATGATTGAAGCAGCTAGTACAGACTTGCCGGAGCCTGGGATACCTTTAACCCACAACAGACCATCGTCGTCGCCTTGGTGCCACTGCTGATAGGTTGTTGTGGAGGTGAGCCATTTTCCTGTCCCCGCGAGATATGAGAGGCGATGTCTAGAGTATTCACTTCGCTCCAGGTCATATGCGGTTGGCTGAAGCCATTTCCTGATCCCAACAATGTCGGTGGGATGGAGGGGAAGGATGTTGTCCACGTTAAAGCCACGAACATCATCTAGGCCAACTAGAACAGCATCATTTTTATCGGAATCTGGTGGAGAGGACATCACTCTTAATGTCCACTTGTGAACAATGTTTGTAAAAGTTGAATAGTCAACAAAAAGGTCGGGGCCTAATCACATAAAGCACTAGCCCCGCTTTAGCTTAGGATTTGGGGCTAGCGCATTGCCAAGCCTCATGAGGCAGAAGGCATAGCTGTGCTCCAGTGAGTCTAAATTTTATGCTCACATGTCCATATCTGCGCTTGCTGCGAGTGTGACGACTGTCACTAGGCGAGGGCATGGTAGCAGCAATCTGGCAATGAGGGCCTGATACGGCGGGACGACTGGTATTTGATTGAGCAGTCGCCTAAGTTACATCTGCCATAAAATCATTGGAGAGAAGGCAAGATGGGAAAGAAACCATGGATTAAGTTGAGCTGTTGACTTGGATGGAAGGGGAAAGGAAGGAACATGAAGATCAATAAGATCACCTGGGCAATCTGCAGGAGTCCTATCCGCCTCGGGCAGAAACGCTACCACAACATCATTTAGTATAACAACATCTAGAGATCATAGATCTGTCTATCTATCGCAATACTCCAATATTACATGTTATATACATGTAGAAAATTGATTTCGTAATAATGTTGGCGGTAAATATTGCCGCCTGGGGAAGCGATCGGTTCCCGGATCCTAGGGTGAGTTTATTTTTTCTTTCTTCAAATAACAAACCAAAAGAGCAATGACAGTTTCTATAGGAAGTGTGGGGCCCCTCGATCAATTTGTTTGTCCAGGAGCTATATCTAACGGGAGGAATCACAGGCTGCTAGTTCCTCCTTCGGTGTATTCGTTTGAGTGCTAATGCCAGGGAGACGTGGGGTGCATCAAGTTGACATGTCAAGGTAACCTTTGGGGGTATATACTGATGGCATTGCCACACAAACTATGCTGATGGATAAATTCATGGTACGTTTCTCTTGAAGGCTGGTTTACTGCCACAGGATCTCTGCGGTCGGTGCATATTATACTTCCTATCGCGTGGTCCCTTAACCCGTATTTATCCCGGTTGCCTGCCAAATCGAACTATAACAAGACCACCTGACATTCCGTATTAAGACACGAGGACACCTTGTTTCGGGATTCGCCAAAGAATTCGCCAGCCTCAGATTGAGGCTCTGTAGCAACATCATAACGTTACCTGAACTATGCGATATTTACCTCTAAGCGATCGTAAACGGTACCATAACGCGAGATAAGACCAGACGCTATGATGATTTTGAACAAGGTCAGCACGATGCTTATTGAAAATGAAGTCTTTGATCTGCCAAGCACCAATCGCGTTCCTGCATAAGCAATAGTGGGTGGAGACAAAGCAGGAGGCTGTGTTGCCCGATTGCCCGAGGCTATATTGAAGAATACTATTTAGAGGAAACGTGATAGATACAATTGCTGGGATCTATATAACCGATCACTGTCACCGGCTCTCTTGTTCCATTATTCATCATCACACAAACTCAATACTGTGAGTGTCACTTGTTTGGACTTATCTCAGTAACTCTTCGAAAAAATAAAGGTTAGGTCCCATGCACAAGACACCGTCTAACTAATCTAAGAAGTCGGCAGTTGAATGTTTGAAATTCAACCTTTCAAGATGTTTAAGAACCTTTTTCGGGCCAAAGAAACCAAGAGAAGGAAAGAAGAAGAGAATACGATCATAATGCGACAACAGGAAGAGCAAAGGATTCGGCAAATGGCTCCTACTGCGTACGAAGAAGCCGTGAAAAGGAATGAAAAGATCCAAGCTAGAAAGCGATACGAGGAGGAGTGGAGGATTCGGGCACTGGCCGTTGCGCGCGAGCCAACTTACGTACATTGGAATACTGCTTCGGCTAGGGACGCACCATCCACTGCTCAGAGTAGACCCAATTACTACGCCGGGTCTGGCAGTAGGCACCGTTCCGGGGGCGACGGCGGTTATTCTGGCGGTGGTAGTAGCAGCAATGATGCTGGTGGAGGAGGTTATTCCGGGGGAATCGGTGATTCAGGTAGCAGCGGAGACTCTGGTGGTTGTGGAGACGGGGGTGGTGGATGTGGCGATTAGAACACAGTGCACTTCCTCAGATGGCTAGGTAGCGGAAGGTTTAGTGGGTTATGACCTATGAGAGGAACAGTCGGATGAGCTCAGTATGACAGACTAATGTTATTATTTCCTTCTTGTCACTATGGTATCGAAGAGCTAGTTGTATCTCGTAGATATGAATCGTGAGCGCGGAAAATTCAAAACAATATAAACTGTGTACGAAGAACATATCTCATCCGTCATTTCGGTAAAAAGCGATGCGAATGAACGATGTATTTATGTTGCAGTAATGACTTTCCCATTGTTTGTCTTGGTGCTAGAGAAAGGCCTAGGAAAGCGAAAAACCACGACCATCACTCGAGTCCAATTTGTTTATTTCATGTTCTCCCCAATAGCGAGTGCATTCTAAAGACCGGAAAAGTCTTCCAAGAGTAGGATATCTTGTGCATTCATCCTCGTAATGACCTTCTTGACCATGGCCACCCTATATCATTGGACCATCCCACCAAAAGAGTAGTTGAGCTAAGGAAGAATTCGAGATTTCACGAGCGTTCGATTTGATTTAATTGATCCAACAATGATCTGGAACCAATCCATGGTATTGCATGTCATACTTAGAACAGAGAAGATCGCTTCCACGATATCCTAATAGCCAAAGATAACCCAAAAATATCAAAAACTGGTATCCTACCTTTCGAAGATCCATATACACATTCAATCATAAGAGAAACAAAGAAATCTAAATATTAGCCGAAGAGTACAAACGAATAGGCACGCCAAGATCATGCGACATCGTCAGATTAGATAGCTTAACAGGCTCCTGTCGAGGATGGGGGTCCGCGTTTTCGAGGGTATCGAAGTGCTGCATCAGACGAACGACGGTGTAGCTCGCCTCAGTGAGGGCATATTGTTCTAAGAGATGTCGGAGCGCAGATCCTGGAGTCTAGGAACGAACATGTTGCCCAACATTGGCTTTCTCTGGCCGCAGTCAATGATGCCGATGCAGCTGTCTTCTACGATGAAGATGATGAAGCCTCCGTCATTGACCGTGAAGGGCACATTGAACGCCTCTTATGCTCGCCGTTCCGGCAAAGAATGCATAGATGTCTTGTGTTCTTGGATCGACAGCATGCGCGCGGTGTTGATCTAAAACTTCCTTCGACATACCGTGCGGCCGTTACGATTGGGCCTCGGTTGACCAAAGACAGACTTGTCCAAGGTAAGTAGTTTTCTTTGTTCAATAATGGTCATATTCCTCTGACACTGTGCAAAGCATGTAACCGGATGCGAGGCGACTTGGGAATGGTCAGTCTGTGGTGTTTTTCATTCCCCCCGAGGTCATTCACGGCATGCGAGGGAATGATCGAATAAACTCACTCGATGTTGTCCAGTGGTCTCTCAAGCAAACCTGTGATACTCTAAAAAGCTTGAGACCGCTCTGGGCTTCGCAGGGCTTGCAATATCATAAGAGGATGAAGCTGTAGGATATCCTTATTGGGGGTGCTGCACCCGCTCAAGATACCGTCACGAACATTCAAGAGCCCGAAGCCCAGACTCTGTCTCAGCTGTATGATCCATGGGACACGCCAAGAGTCTCACGTCTTGGTGAATACATCGATCAAGACGATCTTGTTGTACGTGAACTTCTCAAGACGCGGTCGTCTACCAGCAGCGGAAATGCAGGAACCTCCGCGCTACACGAAGAGCAAGAACGTCAGATCACTCATGAGGTGCAAAGAGAGCAGCAAGTATGTCGCCCTCCAAAGAGCTCTCCTCGCACTCATCATCTGCACGAAGATATCCGACACTTTGTGAAGTATGGTAGTTTCCCAGGTCACAGTTCATCGGCTGTTAGGTAGCTTGGCGTTTGAAAGCCTTCGTCAGACTTCTGCAGCACAATTCAATATCCCACAATGCCTAGGGCCTCAATTATATGCGTCATGCAATTTTATTAAAACCGTCCAGCGCGTCAAGGGTACTGTGGATGACCAGTTCTTGAAGCCTGTGCACTGGGCTCTATCCAATGTTCATAATTCTGACCTGTTGCTTCTGAGTCAATACGAAGCCAACAAGCTTCTACCTGAGGTGAGGGTTTCACAAAAGACCAAGCTGCATGTCTACTCCGCGAGGACTACCAGAGCTATGCGATCTTTCGGCGATCTAGCTTTCCTCACTACTGGTGAAGGACATTCCGGCCAGCAGCGTGGCTATGAAATAATCCGGGACTTGGAATTGTTTTCAGGAAGCCTTTATTTTGAGTCTTTCCCGGCATATGAAAGTTTCCGCCACTTTCTAGGCTTGGTCACGGGTCGTTGCGGTGATATTCCAGAAGGCCGAGTCTCCACAGATGGATTTGTTGATGAAGAAACGCGACAACTGGTTGGCTGGCCCACACAGTCACCGTTCCGATACAACCCCTTGCCTTTACTAAGTTCACTGCTCAATCTTAGAAGCAAAGGGCACGGTTATCCCCAGAACCACGTTGGTATGATTATGGGAGTCAGACCACTGAGAGCGGATCACTTTTAACTATGTGCATAATTACGAGCAATCCATTTGTCTCGCCTAGCTGTACAGATGTAGCTACATACTGTCAGAACTTGACGATAATGTCTGGGATTTCCTTCCACAAAACCTCTTCTGTATTACAATCAAAATTTTCTGTCCTTTCCATGTCCTAGTTTTATGGCTTTCCACGTAGGAGGTTTCGCAGCAGACGCTTCACAAACGGTTAGGTGATATAAGGCCATCATGGGTGTGATAGACTATGAGCAGTAGTTGGTAGATGAATGACGTGTTTGTCATTTTCGAAACGGCAAATATAGACCTTCGAAGACATGAGTTATTGTGATTCACCACTCTCCCTCAATTCACCACTCTCCCTCAATTCACCACTCTCTCCCTCAATTCATCACTCTCCCTCAATTCATCACTCTCCCTCAATTCATCACTCTCCCTCAATTCATCACTCTCCCTCAATTCATCACTCTCCCTCAATTCATCACTCTCCCTCAATTCATCAC